GCTATTTTGGTGAGTTTTGGCAATGCCACCTTTTTTGTCATTTTCGATGTTAAGAACAAGGTTGAAGTCACCGCCAATTATTATGTCTTCACAATTAAAATTTAAAAGATGATCGTAAAAGTTTTGAAAGAATGAAGGTTTATCCTCGTTGGGAGCATAGATGTTAGCGAGGGTCAAAAGCTTTTCGTTAGCTTTTAAGTCACAGATAATAAATCTCCCTGCAGGGTCGGTGTAAAGTCTTTGGAGCTGAAGGTTAAAATTATTGTTAAAAAGAATACATACCCCTGCTTTGTTGCTTTCAAAAGAGGTGAAGTAAGCTTGATAGCCCCATTCTGCTTTCCACAAGTGATTTGTTTTTTCTATACAGTGTACTTCTTGGAGCATGCATATTGATGGCCTTTTGGCGCGAAGCCAATTAAATACTTCTCTTCTTTTAGCGTCATCCCTAAGTCCCCTGACATTCAATGAAGTTATTTTCAAAGTCACGATTTGTTCAAGTCTTTTGTAATAAACGTTGTCTCGACGGGAAAAAAACATGTGCGCCTCAATAAAGGATTTGCATTCTTTCTATTAGGTGTAAAATGATTGATGCAAAAGGTACTCGATATTTTAAACAAATAATGAAGACTAAAACGTGCATATAATATTAGACTGAAGCAAATGATCACAAAAGGTAAATTAAACAAAATAACACTTTGAATAAATAAAAAAGAGTAGCGCAAAAACAAAGAACAGAGCATAGACAAATTTGTAGTTAGTAAAATTAAATTACTTTGGCAGCGAGAAATTTGAATGGTTGATAAGACGTCCCTCTCCAGACTTAACGTAGATTATTTTGCCTGTTCAGTTTATAATTGATCTAAGTCCTCTTCGGAAAAAATTCTAACAGGGGAGCCATAGGGTGATGTCTTAACAAAAATCTTACCATCCAAAGACCAAACACTGAGTAGAGTACCCTCTTGTCTTCTCTTGTTCGCTTCTTTCATGATTCTACGCCTATAAGCCGTGAGGTTCTCGTTTATAAAAATACGTTGTCGTTCCTGTGCATTTGAAGGGTAGCTGGGAAATAGATCTTTGATTTTGACATCCTTTAGTTTGGTGCGTTCTTTGTAAAGTTTCGATTTCACTTTATGATTGCAAAATTTCACTATAATGGATTTGCCCCGATTCAGCTTGTGTGAAATCTCTATTTCTTCAGGCTCTATGGTGATATTTAGGGCTTCAGCAACCTTGATGACCGCGGCCTCCGTACTGGGATACGCATCTTCTGGAATTCCATGGATTTCCAGCGAGTTCTTTCGAGTGTATTGTTCCAAATCATCATGGTGTTCCCACAGTCGATCGGATTCTTCTTTTTGCTTTCCTAGATTCTCCTTTGTTGTTTTAAGCTCGTTCCTTGTTGAGGCTAGCATGTGTTTTAATTCTTTGTATTCGTCCTTGGTCTTTTGCAAGGACTCTTTCAAATCTTTAAGCTCCTTCTCGTAGAAGTTGGCAGATTCTTTTAATTCTTCGATTTCCTTCTTCAGCGTTCGATTTTCGCTAAGAACTGCAGCTATTTGGATTTGTATGTCGACCAGTAGAGCCTTGATTTCAAGAAGGCTAGGCTCTTCTTGTTCCTTGCCCGCTTCAATCGGTTCTTCAACATCAATGTTTTCCTCGGCCGCCATGTTGGATTTCTTCGGATTTCTTGGTTCGTCTTCGGTTGAGCCACGATCACCTCTTTTATTCTTTCTGGGAGGCATTTACATTGAAGAAGGTAGATTACATCGTCAGGGAGCCAGATAGTGTATTTTCATAGGAGTAGGTGCCAGAGAGGGGTCATCTTTGGCAATGTTAGGCAGACACGATGAATACACGTCCGACCGCTGCGATTTCCCGCCAAAAGTCCTCACGAATTTAGAGTTGCTCTGTTGTGATTTCTGTGAAATTTACGCCTGGATTTTTGAAACCGGGTTAGCAAAAATCTGACGCCGGGCAGTAAGTTTATGGTCCCCAGAAGCATTCCAACGAGTCCAAATGTAAAATGACGCAAATTTTAGAACATTTATTCAGTAATCTGACTTCGGGAAGTTTCAAACTGGTGTCATTTCAGTCTAGAAATTTTTAAGTTGAGTGAACTGCAGCGAAAGAGTGCCTGGTTAAGGCTTACATAACAACTGAAATATTTAGCACAACACAATAATGCACAGAACACACAACACAAATTAGGGATTGCGTTCTCTTACCTAGAACGCAAATAGGAATTGATATTTCGGATCATAATCTAGAGGAAAGTTGTAAGAATGCAAATTGGTAAGGGCTTCCCTGGGTCTGCGCTACACTAACGCAAATACAAAGTACACTCCATTATAGCAAAGCCTAGTATGGGCAAATTGTAATAGTTGGACCTTTTTTCATTTTTTTTACAGGGACACGAGCCCCCGGAAGCACAGATATTCCGAAGGACAAAGATGACAAAGCTAAAGGTGGTAACAAAAGTGGCATGTCTGCTGGTGCTATTGCTGGCATTGTTTTGGGGGTAATTGGTTTCATTGTTGTGATTATTATGATTGCGGTAAAATTATTCAAGAGGGAAAGAATCCCAAAGACCACTGCAAGGACTGAATGCATTGGACGCGGAGTTCTACCACCAGCACCTAGTTCAGTAGTGCATAGCCCGCCACCTCAGCCCTACAAGGCTTCTTACGCCCCTGAACATGGTACCTCTATGCAGCTGACGGGCATACCACTACGTTACGAATCGCGTCCACAAAGTTATGGTGAAATTCAGCCCAGTGCACCTCCCTACAATCCTTACTACAAAGAAATTTTTAGATTCAAATAAATCAGGCATCAGGATTTTGAGTAAGCCTAAAACTGATTAGAAGCACCCGATTAAGCCGGCCAAACCTGCATCTGTATTAATGCTCCATAATTGTGAGACCAAATTTGATTGAATATCCTTTTTAAATGCCTGCATAATCTAGGAGGCGGAAAAACCATTACTATTATTGATAACCTTTAAGACTACAGATATTTACATCTTTCAACAAGGCATGGTAGTCCAAGAGATAAATGAAAAGATCGGGAAAACAAAAGCAATAAAATTTTATGCAACATGCTCAACTCATTCTTAGCTGTGAGGGTTGAGCAGGGACGGCGGTTGGTTGGCCATAGCTCACCTCTCTGATCAATTCATGTGACTAAGGTGTAGGTTCTATCGTTGAGGACCCATTAATTATATATGCAAAGTGAGTTTGTAGTTAGTTCTTTTCCCTCTGTTACGTTCGATGTCGCAACTCCTGCGCTAACTTAGAGTTTTAAGAGTACGCAAACCTACATTTTTTCAACAGTTTACTTTTCATTGTTAGCTGTACTTAACTGAATTATTTGTTCCGTTTCTTTTTTTTTTTGCGTTAACTGATGCTTAAAGGCTTAAACCTTTGTACTGTCATGGATTCATAAATGAGAGCATTGTTTAATTATTTGTTGTTTACCATTCGATGTGTGATTTTTGGTAAAATGTAAGAGGATTTTCTGGGAATCAAAAACCATACCAAAGGTTCAGTATAGTTCTTTCGTGGTGTATATTATCCAATGACTAACCAAATTATCCGCAAATATATTTTCCAAGAATATGCGCGGATGACACCTATAAAACCTTTTAGTGTGTACGTTTGTTCAGTCCCCCCAGTTCAGATAATGCGATAATACCCCAGAAAACTGCTTCTTTCAAACTCCCTAGCGAACATCACGTGGTCTGAAAGCAGACGGGGTGGGAAGGGGGTTGAATTGGTTTGAAAATGTTTGACTTGACGTCTACTGCGACTTCGTTTGGGACAGTTTACCAACGATCTTAGCCCCAAAACTTCAAAAGTTTCATTTTCGAGCAGCGCGGTTTATAACTTAGTGAAACACTAATGTTAGCTCAGATCTGAGAACACGGATACAGTCTTAGTTGCATGAAACTCGATAAAAGCCAAGGCACAAAGAGCTGATAATTTACAAAATGATGAACAACGACGAATCCATGCAATTGCCTGTAAAGCCTTTCAGTAAAACCAACTCAGAGTACCAGATACAGTCTTCGTTGTGCTATAAATTACACCATTCTCTTTCTTTGAAGTCCTCGAGTGTTTAAATAAAGCCTTTAGATAAAATAGTGAACGCTATGGAATGACCCCCCAGATTCTTTGACAAATGCGCTAAAAGTATTTTCTTTTAAGCGAGAGCTAACTTATACAGAGTAGGGCCTGACCAGTCTTGCCCTTGTAGAATATGACTTTGCAGTTAACCATTTGTATCTTTTCAACGCTATCTTCGCTGTGATGTAGGACAATTTCAATAGGTTACTGGGAGGAAGGCCAAGGGTAAGTGAAACTCATTCACTCGATTGGTCAAAACATAGTCGTTTTAAAGCGGCTCATTTCTCAAAAGAAAAAGCATCAACCATTCTAGGTTCTCTCTCCTATTGATTTGTTTATTTATTTTCACTTTAGGTCTCTACGTGATACTTTACTCCTTAATAAATATAATCTAAAAGTTTTCGTTGTATTACCATATAACGCATGTCAGGTCAAAGCCAGTTTTCGTGCGCTATACTGCTGACAGTGTCTGGCATGGCAAATGAGAAAGCCCACTTTGTCTTTGTCAGACCATAAATATACTAATGTAGTCAACATTTCGGCGAAATAAAGAACTTTTATCATTTTTCAACGTCGTAAGGCCGCAAGATTTTCAGCTCAGGCAAGCTTGCAAGAGTAGCTTCGACTAGTTCTGTTCATTTATAAAGTGCATAAGCACTTGTTATCATATTCAATCACAGCTTAAAACTAAGTAAGTAGATTGCAAGCGTTATATATGGAACTGAAAGTTTTCGGATTTTTTGCCAGATGAACTCTCGATCACACAGAGCCAATAATACCATTAGCATGTCTTGGAAAAGGTTTATTTATGTGCTGCAACTATTTCAGCGAATCAGTGCCTGGCTTCCGTCCGTAGTACTGAATTTTCCTTGTCGCTCACCCGAAATCAAACCTATTTGAAGCAACACATTTTAAGTAACCATGTTCATCAAAGCACTCAGAGTTATCATTTTCTGGTGGTGATAGGTCAATGATAGGCCTCTGTGGTAACGTCAACGGTGACATATATACATCAGCGTCTTTTCTTGGCTCAGGAAGAGGAGGAGGTAGATTGTCATATGGTGACCAGTAGCCTATAAGCGTGTGGTCTGAGGATATAGAAGTCTCAACGTACAATGGATTCTTTGTTGTCAATGTCGGATGTTCGTGAGATGACCTGTTTGTAAAAGACGAGCTTTGATTTTCAGGGACTTCGGATTGCTCATCTTCATGGAGTTGTGGTGAATAGCCATCACATGCGTTCTCGGTCTCTGAAACTGCATCGCTTTCGAGCGCATGTGGTATAACTCTTGAAGTAGGCGACTGAGGGTGGCAAGCAGCTGGAAGGTTACTCGCGGTTATTTCCTTTATTCTATCAGAGGAAGGCGGTAGGCTTTGGGTTGGAGGCCTGACAGGAGCAAGACCGTTAGATGATTCTCTCTCCTTACTAGAAATCATTGATGGCTTGTTTCTCGATCGATCCCGTATTTCATTATAAGGTGATGGCCACTCTAATGAGATTACAGAACCTTCTCGAGACCGACCTAGAGAATCGGGATCTTCATAGTTAACATGTGGAACAAACTCAGCCGGAAAAATGGGAAGAGGTGCAGGAGGGCGTTTTTTAACATTGGGAACATTATTTGTCTCTTTGTCCATAGATGGTCTTCTAGACAAACGGAAACGCCTTCTGACCTGTAAAAAGAAAAAAGAGAGAGTGAGAGAGGGTACTGAGTTAAATAACCTTTTCTTTTTTTTCAAAAGCGAATGGACAATTAATTCGGGTAATTACATGAAGACGTAATGAGGCAGCTCGCGCCGTTGAGGCATTTTAAAAATTTAACAGACAGAACAGTGATGGAAAGTTAGTTTCTACAGATCCAAAACAAGAGAATTAGTGCTTTTAATATCACAAACATAACAAGCTTTGTTATTTCCCTCATTACAATAGACTGGTTCTGGTTTATTGTTTAAGAAAGTCGTGATTTACAGAGAGCTTAGTGCTGCCATTGTGGTTATAAACTCAGACTTGCATTTTCGAAAAAGACTTAATAAATTACCAGTCTCAGAAAGTTTGACTTTCGCAAAAATTACAAAAGTGTATTCTACAATGCATGAAGCTCTTGTTATCAACAGAAATCTATAGAAAAACTAAGGAAGTGGCAAATGAGCTTAATTTTCTACGACAACAGTAGGCACTTAACTTATTTCCGAAACCAAAGAAGCTTTGTAAAACACCGCCGTCTTTTAGCTGAAAACGCTCACATTTGTCATTTAGAAGTCATGGTGGTCTATTTGACTGGTTATCTCCCAGATCATTTATAAGGCCAGAGCGATCCAAGGGACCGTATTAAAAATACATTTTGGTATTTTATTCTGTTGTCGCTGAATATCACGAATGACAACGGGCTAAATAATTCTGCGATCACCAAGGAAACTTACTAAAGCTAAAAAGCTAAAGGAGGACTAGGTGAGTTAAAGAATTCTCGACCCGGTCAATAAGAAGCAATAAGTGGAGTAAGAAGGAAATTTCTTTGTCGGCAGAATGTGAAAAATTTCCAGTGAAATATAATTTTCACTTATTCAATTATTTATCCCTGCTTTTACTTGAAATCAATGCCGACACTCAAACTTTGAATGCTTACCATAACAGAAATTGCTGCTATGAGGACCACACCAGCCACACATACACCAGTGATTATTCCAGCCAGGGCACCAATAGATAGCCTACTAAAACTGTCCCCACTTTTAACTAAAGACTCCTTAGTTGACTTGATGGGAGCGACACAGAGTGGCAGACTTTGGGCTGTTAAAGAAAAGTTAATGAAAAGTGATTATTATTTGAGAATGTAAAAGAACTACGAGAGAATGTTCATTCATCTAGCTCACACTTGTTTATCATTTTCGTTATTATTACCTTTATGGTTGCTATTATTATCATCATTATATTATTTATTCAAAATTAACATTTCGCACTTTCTGATTGGCTCCAATCCCCGGCTTATTCTTCATAACCATCCGGAGCCGACGAAATTTGGAAGATGCGAGCACTATAACATCGATTAGATGATATTTGATTAGAAACGGGATTGATCGATCGTACATTTGATTGAAAACGAGGCTGCCGTGATGGATAATAGACCATCGATCAACCTCTTTTCCAGGTGCAGCGGCCTAGCTGTTTATTCACAAGTGGACTGAAAAATGGCTTTCCAACAATCCGAAAACGAAATAGCTGGATTTCTGACTAAAACGGAACGGAAGGAAAGCAAGAATACTCAAAATATATTGCTCGATGGATGATATCGACTTTTGAGGAGTATCTGAGAGAAAAAAAACCTGTATGTGAATTTATATCCTGAAACTGTGCCGAGACCAGAGTTTAGAAGAAAGTAGAAGTAAGAGGACATAAGCCTTTTAAGAACTTAAAAATATTTAAAAAAAAAAATTGAATTTGGCTTTCGTCATAGAAGGATAATGTAGATCGAGGAAGATGTTATCAACCTCGGCCTTCAGAATCGGTAGGAAACATCCTCCTCAATCTGCATAATTGTTCACCTCCTACTCAGCCTCATTCAATAATTGCTAATAATCATTACTTGCAAATTCAGTAACTCCAAAGACTTGGAAAGACTTAATGTAGAAGCTATTTTCGATTTAGATATCAAACCAAAACGTTGATTGATAGGCAATGAATTGTCAAACCTTCTTTTCCTCTGAAGCATGCTTCAGCAGTTGCGCAGTAAGATTTCTTTAACGGGACGCTGTCTTTATTGTACACACACCAGTAACAGCTGACTATTCCCTCGCACGTCTGAGAGCTGTTTCTCTCACTGCAGCGAGGATCAAAGCATTTCTCTAATGATGCTTTAGGATCATGACATTTCTTCCCGGAGTCAGGTGGGGTGGGGATGTTTGGTAACTGCAACAAAGGGGCTGGAGGCGGGCATATTGGAAGACTGAAAACCATAAGATACAAATGGGCGTTTGTTAGTGTCATTACTAATAACGGATGTGCACGAAAATCCATGCGTCAAACGTGGTAAAAGGGATAGCGTGGGAAGACTGTATTTTTTTTGCAAAAAGTGACTCATGCGGTTTGGGCTTTGGATAAGCCCTTCATGCTTTTTCGCTCTTGGAGACCTACATGCATTTATATGTTGTAGGTCATTCATTCAAAATGGTGGCCACTTTGGATTTTATTTTTTAAAAAAGCTCAGATAAATGCAAAAAGTCAAGAGACCAAGCGTTTTTCATGCTTAATGTTAATGTTCTTTGAACAGCTAAAAATAGTGACAGTTAATTATTGACTGATCTTAGAGCAGCACTGCTGTCAAAACTGACCTGCTGTTTGGAAACTGACTTCGGCAATAGTTAAATTCTAGCTCAGAGGTACAGGGACATTCACACTTTGTGGACGAACGAAAACACTTGTTATCTGAAGAACAGGTACATGATTCAGCAGCACACAAAGAATCCTTCAAAGTAACTCCTGTGGAAAGATAAAGTAGACATATAGGTAATACCAAGGTAACACTTCAGTCGATAAGAACCATTCTGTAAACTCTTTCCTAGCCTGAGATCATGCCCTCTCCCTATTAACCCTTCATGTCTCTCACGGGAAGAGGGCATGATACATTTCTTTGTCGGATCACATGTAAAAACGCCAGAATCTGGACTTTTTTCTGATTGGATAGGAAACAATACGAATGATTTGCGCCGTTCCGATTGGCCAAAATGCCGCCATCTGTTAGTTGTTGTTGATTTCAGTCTGCATTTTTGCTTGCGTAATGAGCAGTGAATACACACGCGAATTCGTTATGAAATTTCTGCCGGCTCATTTTTCTTGAATTTGAAGAATGCTTGAATAGAAATTTCATCCATTGAAATATTTTCCATCTCATCGTATACTAAAAATTCGCCGATCATTTGAATGCAATTTGATATCGGCTACAAGTTACAGAAGCGACAAACGGATTCACTTTTCAAATAATCAATTCATGAATGGAATCTTGACCTGGTTTGACTCTAATTCCTCCTTCAGAAACCTGCGAATTATTCTGAGCGATCTTCGTTTTCACAACACCTTTCAGTTCGTGAAATATGGTGCTTCAGCCTAATTTTTTTTTCACTGCTTTCGGTACAGAACGAAGTCAACGATCTATAACCAGTAAATTCTTTATTATTTGTAGCTGTTAAATAAAGGTACGGCAGCTCCAGCTAGCAGTATTTCACAAAAACAACACATTTAAATTTTTTTTTTGAAAGCGCCATCTGAACATGGACGTACTTAAAAATTTTCTTTTCCCTAAAATTGATTTGAAAAGAGACATTATTCGCGCCAAAATTTGATTCCCTTATGGTAAACGCTTATTGGCTAATAACATGACAGGTCAAGCAGACGTTAGATTATGTAAATTAGGGGGCGGGTGACGGCTTGTTAAATATATGTATCAGGTGTTATTTTTTTCCCCTCTCGAGCCAAAGAAGTAAAGAAGCAAAAAATAAAAAAATAAATAAAAAATAACGCCTGTTCTCAGGTTAACTCTTTCCATGCTAATGATTTGGATAATTTGTTTTCATAAATTTTCTCTAGTCTCGCTTCAGTACGTCTGTTTTAGGAATGATCGTAAAACGAGAAACCTGTCTCTTTTTACTCAAAGAGCATAGCTCCATCGGCGAAATTTTGCCATGACGTTTTTTTGTTGTTATTGTTGTTTTATTAAGTGAGGTTTATGGGCAAATACTTCATGAATGAAGTGGTTCGTGTATTCATCTGAAAAACATTATAGTTCTGTTAATAAATACATAGTTGTTGTTGATTTTAAACAAAAAATAAGTGAGCTTTTTTTCAACGTGAACGAGTTAGATTATATTGACAAATGGCGCCGATAGCAACAGCAGTTTCAGTTTACCTGCACTTAGAACTTTTTAAACATTTAGTCGTAAACAGCGTATTGGTAATGATTAAAGTTTTTATAGTGTAAGTAGCAACCTTGGAAGTACTTTGCTCATCTTTTGCAAAATTCTGTGGTTCACCCGCGACATATTGAAGCAGACGACAACTATATACGTAAACGTCATTTACACACCTAGGTAAGCATTAGTTCCAACAATCTTGTTGAGTTGGTATTTACTGCAGCTGTCTCCACTCTTCAGAACGTCAACTCCCCTATCCGGCAAATCAACTTCATAAAAACTCTGCTTTTGGATTTCCTTTAGGTTGCGGCATGCTCGTTTTTTCAAGTAGCCATTTGTAATGAGATGCTCTGCGATATTCTTTTCTTTATTAGTAATGTGAACATATTCCAAGTCTTGGGCCATTTCAGAATGTGCTAGGAAGTCTTCATGCATGATAAGGAATCCAGCGCTATCCATAACGAAGCACGAATACACATTTCTTTCTCTACACTTTGGATACACTTCCGTGAGTAACCTAAAAATTTCATTTCAAATGAAAATAGTCAATAGAGCAGTGGCGGATCCATATCTTCAGATAAGGGAGGGGGGGAGGGGCGGTCATCCAGACCCTGACTAAGGGGGAGGAGGCGGTCTCAATTTCTTTTCGGCTTTTTGGGCCGAAAAAAAAAATAACGTAGAGCACGGCCCCCCTGTACCGTCCCCTGAATCCGCCATTGTACCGTAATTCGCATTTGGTTGTGCTTCGGTCAGAGGTCACGTTTTTTCGCCCGTTTTTAGTGTAATATTTACATTTGCTTGGCTTTGTCAGCGCTCGTGATTTCATTTACCCAAAATTTTATTTCGCTAATTTGAAGAGAAAAGAATGCTCTTTCAGACTAAACAAGCCTTGGTGTTCAAAGCCATGTACCAATCCGCTTTTTTAGCTCGTGAAAAAGTGCTAAATTTTGACGGTTGATTAAGCGATTTTGAGTCAACAACTTTGAAAATTTCTTTAAAAATCTCTTGTTGACCAAATCGCGAACTAATCAGTTAAAATTATAGAGGAAAGATAGAAAAAAATACGAAGTGTCATTATATTTTAGTAGCCAACTCTATTTTAAAATTTACGGGTTACTGAATATGACTCTAATTTCGCATGATTTTTGCCTATTCTAGGCCTCGGGAGGAAAAAAATTCGTTACTCAAGCTTACCGGTCGAGATGCAGCGCGGAAACCCATCAAGTAAGGCCAGATTCGCTTAAGACTTTTCGGATAGTCCAGCAAGGCGAAGTAAGCGTACTAAAAGTAGCTTATTTTTGAAAACGATGATTCCCGATTTCTTTTTGTCGGTCGGCACATTTCTCAACCACAACCCAGTAAACAAGCCAGCAAAGAATAACAAAAGAATGTTGATAGCTGCTGTATTCCATTTTGTAGATCCAGTGCAAAAAGACAGGTAAAAACATCACAAGGTGACTCAAAACTCAGTCAGCTTCAGCTATCAGTGAACAAGTCGCAGATGCTGCATAAATTTTCGACTTGAATCCTCTTCGCTAGCACGCCTGTTAATTCCTACTCTATGCCTTTCTCTTCTTTCTCTTTCCCGTCGCTCTTCACTTACAAGCAAATAGTTTGAATTAAATCCGCTATTGTTTGTTGCCATAACAATTTTTCGAAACAGTTTAGTAGAAATTGAGCACTACGGTCACAAAATCCTTATGCAATGAAGTAGTTGAAGTAAACATGTTTTTGAACGCGACGACAGCCACGCCATTTCTTGCGCGATTTCCCGCCAAGAAAAAGGCGGGTTGCACAAATGCATCGCGCGATTTATAACATACTCCTCCCCCGGACGGGCTGACACCTGATTCCCTTCCCTCCCCCGCAAAGAGTGTACGGGCGTACGCTACGTCATAACCAAATTTCCGCGGACGGATGGTTTACCAAATTTTCTTACCCATGGTGCTCCGCAGGCGCGCTTCGCGCGCCGAACTCTGCTATTAATGAATTTTTAAAGACTGAGGAAGAAGGAGAAGACAAAGTACTGATAAAGCAGGAGGAAGAGGAGGAGGAGGAGGAGGAACAAGATAGAAGAATCTTAAGGCAATAAAAAAAAAATCAAACCATCTCTGAAGGTAGCAATTTCTACCATTTTAATCGTCCCCAAAAGCACTTTTTGAGCCTAATTGTTCTTGACTGATTATTACTTTAGTTCGTTAAAATGTGAAACTATTTTTTTTTTTTATCAAAACATTAAATTGTCCCATGACATTTTTATTCAGTTTAACAAAAACATTCCTGGCACAAATCGGGAATGTTTGAGTCAAATGCGCGAGCGTTGTTTTGGGCTTACCTATAGAAATACGTTAATGAGAAATCAGCTCCCATAACTCCAAAAACTTCGTCATTTGTGTGATGATGGTGACTTGACTCCCCACGATACAGGGAGCGGGCGACAGTTATAACCACTCCAGCACCTCTACCATTGGGTTGGCCGGCGTCCAAATATGGGGTCGTGAGAGTGACTAGACCAGTGTTACCCAAGGCCGAATAATACCTAATGTAAGTGAAGCAAATAATTTTACACGTCAAGTGACTGTAGTTTGTGGAACATATGCTGTGCTTAAATTTATTTCGTTTCAAATTCATTATCATACAGACCACACACAAAAACAAACGAAAAGAAAAATTAAACTAAGGATATAATCTAGCAAAAGTGTTTAAAACAATATTCACTACATAAAGACAGTTTGAGACACCCTTAAATACCTTTATAAGACTCAGTGAGGTCTAAGGTCTAATTTAAAAGAGCGATGTCGTATATAAAATCACGTGTTGCGTGATATGTTTTACATTTGTGCGGTCAGGTTTACAGTTGTACGTAGGAGGAACCAAACAATAACTAAAGAAAAATGTCGAGGAACACTAGAAATCCCTCGATCGCAAGGGTGGAATATTTCCGACTTTACTTCCCTCTTCTTTCACGTGATGCATTGAGACCACTGGCGATATGCTGTGCCTCACTCAGTTGACCCTGTTTTCCGAGACCGAGGTTATACCGTGATCTTGGCTGCAATCTCAAACAGCTTCAAACGCTGGGCCATTCCGGTTCAAGACGAAGGAAAGCCTTCGAAAATTTGAATTAGGTGTTAATATCCCACATGTTTTTGTTGTTGTTGTTTCTTTTCTTTTGTTTTTGTTTGTTTTGCCTAACTGATGCTGAGTTCTCACTTACCAGGGTCTTTGTCTGGGATCGTAACTTTTCTGAGATACAGCACCAGGCATCTGCCTGAAAACCCCATCTGCTGTTCCAATATATCTCCACACCAAATATTGTGTCAGCTCAGTCTTTTCACGCAGCCAAAGGTCTTCCACTTTCCAGGTAGCGGTCACTGTGTCCCTTATTCCCGGTTTCAGACCAGGACTTTTGATCGTCCCGGTTTCGTCAGTCATGTAAGCATTGAGTAACTCCAAATCTGCCCTGCTCTCTCTTTTACCAATGTATTCAAAAGTGTCTTTGAAAGCTCCAGGCGCAAATTTTACAACCGAGGTATCTTTAAGTGAAAAACCAGAAGTTATCAAAATATATAGTTAGTTAAGAAAAAGAACATGCAGAAATAATAAAAAAACGCCCATTGCTTCCTGCAAGGATGTGTGTGTGTTAAGGTATAGCCTGCGTACGTAGCAGGCACCGGTAATTTTTTTAAAGGCCGCGCGAGGGGAACACACGAAGGGGAGAGGAGGCGCCTGCAGCGTAGGCCCTAGTTTTCCGTTTTCTACGTTATGTCACGGTGCGTAAAATGCCATTGGCCAAGTACGCCTCTTGGGAGTTAGTCTGTCACGTCAATGCATTTTTTGGAACGTCAGTCAACTGAAATCAAGTCTCGTAAACAAATCACACGGCTATGCAAGAAGTTTTTTTAAAGGGCTTAGCTCGAAGAGATTTTCGATGTTGGTTTTCATTGCGCCGTCTTTTTTAGGTAAAGATCTCTTGGCAGTATTACCAGCTGGATTCGGAGAGCAAATACCGAACCGTATTTTGCAAGCCTTGTCGTTATTTCCCCGTTGCAAAGCATAATTCAGGATCAGGCAGCCGAGGTAACTTTATTGGAATGTCAGTAGGTGACTTGAAAGAAAAACTGGACTGTTTAAAAGAAATACAGCAAGAAAAGCATAAAGCGGCCGCGATGAATTTCTTTAAAATCGTTATCACTTTCAACACGAATATAGCAGCGTCTGTTATTGACGAAAGCCTGGACGGGACGACTTAGGTAAGCCTGTTCGTCGTGTAGCTTTACCCGAATTTAAAATTGAGTCGTTTGCTTTATGCAGATACAACCAAAATACATACTTAGGTGTATTTTTTCCTTTGGGCCTGATGTCGGTTTCATGTCTTTAGATGATCTGCTTTCAATAAATTTTTGTCACTAAATGCAGCGCTGTGACGTTATTAACTTGGGGGTGGAAATTGAATACAAGGGTCTCCGCGGCAGGCGCCTCCTCTCCTTTTCTCCCCTAACGTGTCCACGAGATTTTCTTCCTTCGCCTAAATAGAAACCGGCGCCTGCTACACAGGCTAGTGTGTGAGCGGCGGCCGGGGTATTCATATTTGGCAAGTTCGGGTGAATCGTCAGCAATGTAACAACAATTATTTTCTAAACATTTCATTCGCATCAAAGTCTCAACCAGCATCACGGCCAACTGTTAGAGACACAAAACTAAGCGAAAAATGACGCCCAAGAATTGATCACCTGGAAGTAAAACCATATGGACGGTTTTCCTGTTACCTGAAGAACACTTCTTTCTTTCCGAAAGTAAATGGTTGGGTTTTTGTCCTTGAAAATCCTTGGCAAGTCCTCGATGCTAGTTGAAACACCAGACGAGGGTAGAATACAATCGATCAAAACAACAGCCTTTTTTTTTTACTTAGAGTTTAGAGGTTTTATTGACGGGAGTTTAGACGTTTCTCGTGCATATTATGGCTTAAGATTAGTACCTTTTGTTCCGTTAACTCCAAAATGACTGCAAGGTTTTTCAAAGGACTGAAGATCGATCCGGTGATACTGAAACTTGTAACCTTTGGGATTAAATGATAAAAAGTGGCACGTTTAAAGCTGCCTTAACAATTGGGGGCATTGAAAGCTGACTTGTGGCACCTTTCATTATGGGACCAGACAACGTTGCATGTTAGTTGTGAAGAATTATCATCCAAACATAACTTATTTCGAAGCGTATGCGGACGGGAAATTGGAAAGTCTCAGCGTATAAGCATTTTCACAAGAGCACGTTGTAATTTTGTACTTAAAATGAAATTTCGAGATTCTCTGGCTTGAAAGGTTGACCACTTAAAAACCACACAGACCAGCTATACAAAAACACCAAAAACGACTGTCAGCAAAGGTTTCCTTAATCAAGCCAATATTTTCCCAAATTAGTCTTTGAAAAAGGCTTTTAGAGACGTCTAATCAATTTAAGACGTTGACTTTTATCTTGAGCTACAGTCAAAGCGAAATATTTTAGGACATTTCTTTCTTGCCATGTATCTCACAAAATCAGTGAAAGTTCCAACCAATTTTCGTCTTTTCAGTTAAGAAAAAAAGCCTTATATACGGTAACCGTTACACATTTGTTAGGACTACTTGGCAAATTGCCAATCAGCAACAATGTACACACTCCCCACGTTTGCATGGTTGAGGGCACGAACGTGGCGCCACAATCAAAAACTTCGTTGAAAGCTAGATATATCCTACAACTGGCGACAAAATTAGTTGAGACACTTCGCCCTAAAGGGGCTTTCTAACGTTTTACTGACTTCAAAAGGGGAAAATAAAGCTTTTCCTCCCCCATTCCCTCTATGGAATCTTGTGCCGCTGTTCGAGCTACCAATAGAAAACAATTGAATGGAGGGGAGAGTTTAGTAGTGTGGACTGTTTTGCTCTCTGAAGTTACCCTATTTGAGTACAATGTCTCAACAATTTTTCACCGACGTGCTTGTTTCGGTCATGTCACTTTGAAGTTTTACGTGTTCTGTGTATGACTTCATGATGTGTAGATGGACATTTGCTAACTGGCCCCCCAGAGTCAAAAGTATAAAAATGCGTGTAAGGATCGATCTATCGCGTAAGACAATAAAGGATACGCACTGGTCCCATGGAGTACAGTCAAATCTCTTCAAGCGGACACCACCCTACAATAAATTTTTTTTTCGTTCCCAAGATACCAAACTCCATTTCACCTCTATAATCATGGACACCTCTACAATGTGGACGGCCTCGGCTCTTTCTGTTGGTTTCCGTTGTAAGGAGTTTTGACTGCAATAGAAAATTACACAGTAATTCGTGCGCTCACTCTCTCGAACAAACTAACCTTTAGGAATTGTGGCAGCCTTGAGTTTCTCCTTCGCATAAGCTACTGGTACAACAACACCAAGGGTAAATTCGGTGCCCTCTACCTGGGTCCAACTGTACGTGGAATTTACTTTTCTCTCTTCCACTCCTTCCCTGACGTCCCCTCCTCGTGGTAAAAAGCGTTTGGCAACAAAGGTCTTGGAACCAGACCTTCCACTAAAAGAAGTTAAAGCGTACAATTAAAATATAAATGTTAGGAATCTCTATAATCCTTAATATGATACAGTGAAAGTTCTTAACGTCTCTCAGAAACGCTGATTTCTAGTATATGGGTTCAATGTTCAACAGTGTTCACTTCACCCGGCTTCCTAAGTATATTACATTATTCTGTGTCATTTTGACCGCTAGGGGAAGGGGGGCACTCCCTTATTTGACCAATACGGGAATGCGTCGCTGAACAAGGTATGGTTTTCAGGGTCTTGAGTCTTGAGTCAGAGTCTTGAGTATTTTAGAATAATCTAATTTTGCTCTGTAAGTAATCTCAAAAAAAGCTTTTTGTATGTGACTCCAAAGCAAATTAAATAAAGATATTTTTCCACATTTTGTATTGTATTTTATACTATCTAAAAAGAAAATATCAGGGCATTTGGACTACAGTCTTAAACAGGGTCATAAAAAACAGTCTCTTGTCTTAAACGGGGTAGAAAAATGAACGGATCTTGTCTTAAACAGGGTCAGAGTTTGAAGGCCTTGGCGGCTCTCCCACACCCAAACTTCCCTCAAGTCCCCCCTCCCCCCGGCATTTTGAAGTAATTAAGAAGGGCGCTCCAAGCTTCCCCTTTTGAAGAAAGCAAAACAACTAAGGCATGAATAGGTTTCATTATCCATGGAGGTAAAATGGCTCCCTGAATCTTCATCTACATGTCGTGCCTGACGCTGTTGCGGCTCAGCCACGACCTAGAAAACAGCGCCGAGCATCATGGTTTTCCAAAAGGCGTTTGCGTGAATAAAAGAAAGCAAGAAAAGTATTACAAAACCAATCATTTGAAGAAACAAAGAAAAGAGCAAAGTAAAGAACCGTGAATGAAAATTTAGTGGAAGTCCCTTTAACGGGTTCTTAATCTGATGATGCAAAATTCTCGGCTTGCACTGTCACGCAATGAAAAATAAAAATGCAAACCATTCAATACAGAAGGACTAGAATCTGGGAAATGAAAAAAGGTAAATATACAAAAACCCTTGCCAAGAATCAGGTCTGTGAAATATTTCAAATGCGAGATATTGGGAAAAACGGTTTACCTAAATTTATAAAGCTTTGTATGGAAACGCCATGTTGGTGTCCCTTTCAGAACACCAATATGGCCGCCGGATACCAACAGAAACATCTGTTTTCGAGTTTTCCTACTAATGCGTGAATTCTTCGCTTGAAGAACTCATAAAGATACAGTAATATTTATTCTGAGACAAGGAATGTTTAGATTGCAAAATCTCCCAAAATCGGTAATGTTTTTAACCCTCATAAGAGCTTTCCTGCCGCCACCTAAGTGCCACGTCACGCAAAAGCCTGGAAATTCAAGCGTCCTCTCTCGCAAAACGAAGAACCCTTTCGAACCAAAAATTTGTTTATGTAAAGATGTTCAGGTACTGTAATACCTCGTGAAAGTGGAAACTCAGAAGAGTCGATAGTTTCTTAGTTTGATTTTTGGTGACGTCACGTGCAACCCAAGAATATGTGGGAGAAGGGGAAGGGAGGCTAAAGTCCCCTTAGCCCCTCTTTTTCATCTTTGGTCCCTAAGAAAGATATATTTTAACTTTCTCTGCTGGCTTTTATAACTGTTTGCAAATAAGATTGCGTCCGGCTAAATCGATAAATGTAATCTTTTATTACCCCACACCCCTCCCCCCTTCCCCCAATTCCCCTTAAAAAAGAAAAAAAAAAACCACAACTCTTTTTTTTAATGCTACCAAATAATAGCCCCCATACGTTTTCATTGAGATAAACACATCTTTGAACTCTGCTTCTGGCTCTAATGTACGTATATCCAAATACACAGGGTCTCCATAGACGTCGGTTGGTGCTGGGAGGAGAGGATGAACAACGGTTCTTCCTGATTTACTGGTCATAAAAGCATACGCAATCTGTCCTTCCTTTAATAAATCGATATCAGAAACTAAGTCCTCGATGTTGATGTCAGTCCCTGCTACGCCAATGAACTTCCCTTTGTGGTAACAAGGAAGGGTTATTGACATTAAGAGTCCTGTAAGAAAATAAAATTATCATAAGTGAATGAAATAGCTCAAAGTAAAAAGTTGGTTTGTTGATTTCATTAATTTTTTACCAAAATATCATAGAGACCTTATGGCTACGACCATAATTAGAGGAGAAGACTGGTTATTAAAGGCGGCAAACATCAAAGATAAAAACGGTGCTGTAGTTTACGATGGGATCTTCCTGACGGGGTACAATCTTTTGTTTTAATTTCACATAAATTGTCACTGAATAAATTGATGTTAAGTTTTTATAATGGTCAATAATGTCAAAATGTTTGGAAATTTATTGAACTTACTGCACCGTCAGAGGTCTAAAAGGTGAAAAAAAAAACAAACAAACAAACAACAACAACAACAAATTTAACAAAGAACTCTGACGGGTTTTATACCGATACTACATGCTACGACAGAAGGTGCCCATACACTCCAGTAAAAGCGTTCTGCCGAACTTAAAGTGCCATATATAGCCTTACTAACCACCATCACATGACATTACGTGATATTGCAGGTAACGTATATTTTAATTTAAGGAAGTAACAGAGAACCTCACGATCTGCCTATAAATGGGCTGTTTAATGGGCTGTTTAAGTCGTTTAAGAAAACAAACAACTTTCTAGTATTCCCAACATGCTTTGTGCGCGGGTTTCGTTTTGGACGGAAGGCTTTTAAAAGAGCGTGAAGATTCGGGCTATGAGTACACCACATGTGTAGCGGTGCCAGTATTTCGTTACATCAATGCAAATCTTGAATTCAAAGAACACCAATTATTGTTTTGCATCGAAAAACTTACTATACTAATGTATCGACGGTTGTCTTTGGACACATAATCATCCCAAAGAACCAAATAGCTGATTTTGCATTTATTAATCATGTGAGCCAGTGAATCCTGATCAAAGTTATCGTTCACAACTTAAATTGGCAATAACTGAATGAGGAAATTCCCCATTTTTTCTCGAGAATCTATAGCTGTTTACTTGCCAACAAAGTGACTGAATCTGAGCGTAATGAAAAACTACCAACCAACCAAACAAACAAACAAAAGCTAACCTGTTCCAAAAGCATCGACATATGGAACAGAAACCACTGGTCGATCAAGTTCCTTTCCGGTAGCAAAGAAGTTATAATACGAGCCCATTTTGCTTCTGAGGGTTTTGATGTCTTCTACAGCTATGTATTTTCCCTTCTAAAGTGAGATAACAAGTAAGTTAAGTTGTGTTTCCTTACTTGACAATCATTCAGGCCAATTCCTAGAAAAAATGACCTCCAGGAATGTAAAGTTATATAATTATTCATTCAAAATATTTCCCCAATTCTGATTGGCTAAAAGCACACGCATAATTCACCATACCCAGTTACTAATGACTAAATTTGGAAGAATTTTGTGTTTCACGAGGAAATGACGTCAAAAATGCTGCCCGCTACAGCTTAAGGCACCATTAACCGAGAAGACCTGGGGACGAGGTTGAGTCGTTTTGGTTGCGAAAACAAAACATGGCGGATACTTCACTCGTTTCAAGAGTAAGAACTGCAGCTGGAAGTAGGCGAAATAATAGCTAAAAACATAGCAAAAACAGCAGGAAGACAACTCGGAGGGCGACATCTGCTATTTGGAGAATATTTGCAGAGCTGGAAAAATCTAAACGTACACTATCGAAGATGAACTTACCATCGATGCAGGTAAGCATGTTTTAGCTATGTTTTTAAACTAGGGATTATTTTGAATGAATAATCTCCTCGATCTGCTTAATTCTTCATATCCTACCAAAGCCGAATTCATTAATTGCTAATTATTGCAGCAGTGATTCCCTTCTTTTCATTTGAAAGATTTTCCCTAGTGCACTGTAATCAAGTCCTCAGAAGGACACTGTCTTAATATTAAACTTCCTTGAAAGATAGCAGAACATAAGTGAAAAGCCATAACCACGCGCAGATATTTACTTTGATAGGCTGATATCGTGAGAGTAACTAACCGTCTTCGTTCCACATTTCATTTCTACCATCATGTTCACTAACTGATGGAAAACTATATTTCAAGGGCATCCATTAACAAAACTAAAAGTATTAGATTTCCTGGCTGCGTTCTTTCGTTGCCTGCTCCCACATGATCATTTCACGTTATATGAATATATTACTGTTTAATTGTTTGGTTTTCAGGAACTTAGCAGCGCCTACTACTTATGCTGCAAGTGATAAACATGTTTTGAAGCTTTTTAAACGTGGGAAAGATTAATGATAAATCGTGACCTCTTTATGGACACAAAAATGTGCAGAATGATACTATCAACATGGACAATCTTACCGTTACGTCTCCAAATGAAGCATTTGACGGAACCCCATACTTTGCTGTGTTTTGCAGGGCGATATCTTGAAGAATGTTAATTGTTTCCTGATCTACACCACCGAATCCAAACGTTAATATGACCACGGAGTTGTTGAGCTCCAGATTCCTGTCTCTTATGGTTTGGAATATTGCTCTTTTTTCATCGGAGGGTGCTCCGTCTGTGAGAAACAGTATAACTTTACGCACCTGTTTATTCGTATTTTCAGATGCTGTCTCCTTCAGAAGCTGAAAAGCCTTTTCAAAAGCCAACCTGTAATTGGTTTTTCCTACAAACGCAGAAGATGCCTCGGTTAAGTTTTTTTAAATGATCATAGTGAGAAAAAAAACTTTCAGTTGAAGGAATCAATGCGTGTCATCCATATTGGTTTCCATAACACTGAATAACCTTAGTCTAGGTTATTCTGTTTAGGACAGGAGTTAATAGAGACATGAAGCACCGAGCATTTTTTCCCGCGAGCGGAAAAGAGGGTCACGTGACATTACTTTCTACGCGTTTGCGTTTGCCAGCCGCCGTTTCAACTCAAGGAGGACGTGAATACATAAAAGAGAGATTAAGATTCAGGTTTACGCCAAACGGCAAATGTGAATTTGTACCACGTGACCAAGTTTTTCCTTTAATTGCCGTTAACAGCTACTACTATTCATTGAAAATATTTTCCTGATTGTGATCGGCTAAAAGCACCCGCATAATTCACCATAACCAGCTCCTGATGACCAAATTTGGAAGAATGTTGCGTTTAATGAACCGATGACGTCAAAAATGCAGCCTTCTTGCAGGTTAAGACGAGAAGACCTGGGGACAAGGTTGAGTTGTTTTGGTTTTTGAAACAAAAAAAGGCGGAAATTTCACTCGTTTCAAGAGTAATAACTAAGCGAAATTATAGCTAAAAACATGGCGAGAACAGAAAGAACACAACTAGAAGGGCGACATCTGCTCTTTGGAGAATATTTGCGGAGCTGAACAACCCTAAACTTGAACTATCAAAGAGGAACTTAACGTTGATGGAGGTAAGCATGTTTTAGCTTTGTTTTAAACCCAGGAATTATTTTGAATGGATAACACTCCGCTTATCATCCCTCTTTTACATTTACTGTTTGCAAAGTTAAAAGAGTTTCAAATTCGAGCGAAAAAAAGATGAAAACTTTGATCCTCTGTACATTTTGTCCATTTACAGTGAAGTTAGTGAATGGCGACAGAGAAGACTTGCCTTGTATCATACGTATTTTACTGAGTTTAAGTTTAATTAAGAAATGTTGAAACATTCAGTTAATATCTAGTTAATTTTCAAATATTTTAGACAATTTTTGAACATATTTGTGCATAGTTTGCAGTTCTTCGGCGTGTAAACAGGCAGCTTAAACAAACACACAGCGGACGGAACGGCTAGCTAACGTTCGGGGTTCACCGTTAGCGCGGTGCTTTATCTAGCTAATATGACGTATAGGTTCGTGACAGTTTCAGAGGAAAACATTTTAGCAATTAATGAAGCAGTTTGACCAAAATAGCCAGAAAGAGACTGAGTTTGGCTCGTCAGTGTTTGCTGATTAAAATAAAATTATTTTCTTATTGAACTGGCAACAAAACTCGGGAAAATGCACCCGAAAATTTATCCGCCAAACACCGTCGATTAAAACGTAAACAAATCCTTTACTAAGTGGCGTCATTTATTACAAAAGCTACTTCCATTTTCATGTTAAACTGATTCGGTAAATACTTAAAACAACTATCTCCATCAGGGTCGGATCTTAGGGCTAGATAGATACGTGGACGCTTCACGTCTCGGGATGTAATGCACCAATATACTGGCNGTGAATGGCGACAGAGAAGACTTGCCTTGTATCATACGTATTTTACTGAGTTTAAGTTTAATTAAGAAATGTTGAAACATTCAGTTAATATCTAGTTAATTTTCAAATATTTTAGACAATTTTTGAACATATTTGTGCATAGTTTGCAGTTCTTCGGCGTGTAAACAGGCAGCTTAAACAAACACACAGCGGACGGAACGGCTAGCTAACGTTCGGGGTTCACCGTTAGCGCGGTGCTTTATCTAGCTAATATGACGTATAGGTTCGTGACAGTTTCAGAGGAAAACATTTTAGCAATTAATGAAGCAGTTTGACCAAAATAGCCAGAAAGAGACTGAGTTTGGCTCGTCAGTGTTTGCTGATTAAAATAAAATTATTTTCTTATTGAACTGGCAACAAAACTCGGGAAAATGCACCCGAAAATTTATCCGCCAAACACCGTCGATTAAAACGTAAACAAATCCTTTACGAAGTGGCGTCATTTATTACAAAAGTTACTTCCATTTTCATGTTAAACTGATTCGGTAAATACTTAAAACAACTATCTCCATCAGGGTCGGAGCATAGGGCTAGATAGATACGTGGACGCTTCACGTCTCGGGATGTAATTTTTGCACCAATATACTGGCCAGCTCGGCCATCGGGAGATAGTTGCACATACTATTCAATTAATCTTACCATAAGAAACAAGACCACCAACATAGCTTCTCAAACAGTCGATGTTTTCAGGAGTTGCAAGTGCTAACCGTTGATTATAGCACGTGGTTTTTCCACCATAGATTCCAGGGGTTGTGACTTTAGTGTTGAAGGATACAATTCCAACCTGTGATCACAAAATGTCATCAAATTAAAGGGCTGTTTTCGAAAATAATAATCTAGTTACAATGATAACATTGGTCATGATATAATACAAATAATAATGATAATGATAATAATAATAACAATAATAATAATAATGATATTATTAAGCTGTAGCTGGGGTCTCTTACAATCAAGGGCCTCTTATAAGTTGGACGTCTAGTCTTCGCTTCTGGTTGGTTTCGACTTTACAGCCTTAATTGCTGTTAGATTCTATTGCAAGTTACTAATTAAAAATAATATTGAGAATTTCAAACGAAATAAGGCCAAAATATGAAACGTAGATGGAGAACCCAAACCCAAGCTACGTCCTGCATACGTACTACAGGCCTTTTCCAGTTGGCAATGGCTGTGCTTCAGACGCACCTGGCGCAGGCCAGTTGTGGTCGAAATGTCGAAAGCTTTTTTGCAAGGACCTTTTTCGCTTCAGGCTCGATAAATTGCTTTGGCCTCCAAAAAGAATTACTATGATTCGTTTTTCGAGGATAACGTTGGGAAAGCTAAAGCGACTTGGAATGGAATTAATACATTATTATCGCGAAAGAAAAACTCTGCTCCGGTGTCAAAATTGATTATTGGTGACAAGGTGATAACTGACCCTCATGAGCTAAGCAATGCTTTCAACAGGCATTTTGTCGATATTGGTCCTAACTTAGCGGCGAACATAAATCCCCCTCGAGTCAGTTTTCGTGATTTTGTAGTACCGTGTGATAGCACCTTCGAGCTCGAATTACTGACTATTGATGGACTGCGCAAACTTGTGAATGATATTCCTGTGGGTAAGGCTGATTGCCTCGACGGTATTCCAACTTGCCTCTTAAAGCTTTCATTTCCATCCATTGCGTCTTCCCTTACACATATTTTTAATTTAGCTATTTCTAAGTGAATTATTCCCAAGGACTGGAAGAGTGCTAGAGTAACTCCAATTTTCAAAGCTGACTCGAAAGTTGACCCAGCCAATTACAGGCCAATTTCTGTGCTTTCTGTAATTGTCAAACTCTTTGAAAAAGCCATCTTTAAGCAGGTTTATTCATATTTAAATGATAATAAGTTCTTTCGAAATATCAGTCTGGCTTTAGACCTATGCACTCGACCCTTACAGCTCTTATTGACATCACTGACAACTGGTATCTCAATATCGACGATGGTTTGACAAATGCCATTCTGTTTATTGACTTTAAAAAGGATTTTGATACTATTGACCAAAAGATCCTTCTGTCAAAATTGGAGCTGTATGGGTTTAAAGGTGTGAGTCTCAATCTTTTCCGAGACTACCTCTCAGATAGAACTCAGGTTACAGTTATAAACAACATAAATTCCGAAACTAGCTTCATAGGTTGTGGGGTGCCTTAAGGTTCAATCCTCGGCCCCCTACTATTTCTATCATACATTAATGATCTCCCTAACTGTGACCTCCTATCGGATGTGAGAATGTGCGCCGATGACACTAATCTCACGTTTGCCTCCAAAGACCCTAATGATTTGTTGTCATCCCTGACTCCTGATTTGGGCAATCTGAAGCAATGGCTCGTTTCTAACCGTCTAAGTCTTAATGTCCTCAAGACTAAATGTCCGTTTACAGGCACGAGGCAAAAAATCTCTTTGCTCCCTAGCGATCCACTTATATCCCTCGACGGGCATTCAATTGAAAGAGTCAATAGTTACAAATGCGTAGGCGTTCAGGTTGATGAGACACTCTCGTTGGAGGCTCACATCTCCGAAGTCAACGGTAAAGTTGCAAAAGTACTAGCTGCCCTGAGGAGGCTAAGACCATCAATATGTCCCCAGAGTACCCTTGTCACTGTTTACAAGTCATTGATTCTTCCGCATCTCGATTATATGCAGCGCTGTCTGGGGCTGTACCGGTAATGGTCTCAGCCAAAAACTAGAGAAGCTTCAAAACAGGGCTGCACGCATAATTACAGGGTCTAGCTGGGATGCCAGCTCTGCCCCGATTCTTCATGCCCTGAAATGGGATAGCCTCGCTGACAGACGTGCTAAGCAACTGAAATCTTTAATGTTTAAAACTGTAAATAACCTTGTACCCGAAAACCTGTCTGATAAATTCGCCAGCATTAATACCATTCACAAGCATAATCTTCGAGGTGCGCAACATAACCTGTTTATTCCGCGACCGAACACTGACGCCCTAAAGAAAAGTTTTCGTTATAGGGGCGCAGTAACATGGAACAGCCTGTCAGCTAAGGCTAAGCAGGCCACTACTTTAAATTGTTTTTATTCCGCTATTGTACATTAAGATTTTCTTAGTAAGCATTTATTATAGGACTTTTTCAATAATGTTTGTTATTTTTAAGTCTTAGTTTAATGTGCACGGCTCTTTAGAAGAACACTTTTTAGTGATAAGGATTCCGTGGTTAAATAAAGTTATTACTTACTTACTTACTTACTTGCTTTGGCGTCGTTGATGCTGGCGATGACAAAACGTTTACATTTAGGGATAGTTTCAATCTTTTCGTAATTATCTAAGTTTTTACTTACATGGTCCTTGGGATTCATTGTATCCAAAACTGTGTTTGCAGCTTCTCTGGCGATGACAAGTTTCTCTCCAATCATGGATGCACTTGTATCGATAATCAATACCACGTCCTTGGCTTCCGGAGAAGCGGTTTCTACGTAAAACGGTCTGTATCGAGGGTCGTATTTAGAACAATCGTTTTCGTTAAAGTAAACCGGAAAGGCAGTCAGCATACCCTCCTCTGAACCAAAGTACTGCCATTTGATAAAAGGATATGTTTTCGCAATAGCTTTCATTTCCAAAAGAACGCTTTCATCTAAGTGTACAGGGTTTGGTGAAGCAGTACTAGAAATCTGAGCACAAAAATTGTTCACGTCCACTAGAGAACGGAACCTCACGTCGTACTTGAGTCCAGTTTTCTCGACCTTGCAGCATTCCGTGGCTGGATTTGGATTTGCAGCTCCATTGTACGAGTCTTCAACTGCTTTCTTCAGCCTTTGTGCTACTGCAAACCTCGTTTTGAGCTTGTCTGCAAGTTTGACAGCTAGAGATGGAAGAACGTCCTGCCCAGTTATGGTCTGCCTGTTGAACTGAAGTTTGTCCAGATATATCTAAAACAATAAGAAGAAATGCTTGTTGGCCCGAGATTGTTGGGAGTTCTTGGATAGTCTTGGCAGTGCTCATAAAGGGGATTTTAGGAAATTATGCAAAAGATACGACCCATAAAATTCGACAGTGTAATGCGCGTGCGTGTCCCCAACATTTTTGGAACAACTGTGAAAACTGATCCAATGTTGTCGCGCTACGCTTCGACGATCCCTGAACAAATAAATGACTAACAGTATAACGACATAACAAAATAACAACGCGCTACGGCATAAAACTGAGGGTATGCAAACGGACTTGTAACGCAGCCAACAATGTTGCGTCCGTTTGCACAGAGACAAGCATTTATATGAGTACGCAAATGTATTAAGTTCCTATTTCCGATTATATGACAAAAGAGTTGCATTTTTATATTTTTATTTCACCTGGTTATCTTTTTCCGTTTTATTTAGCCTAACTGAATAAATAAAATAGTTTTATTTCCACAGAGATTCACTACTTGGAAATAGGGACGGTGAAGGGTGAAGGAAAGTCGTAAGTAAATTCGGAGCTCAATCTCATTAAAAATCCTTCCGGTGTTTAAATGATAGCTAACCTGAAAACGTAGGCTTGCATATTAAGAAAACAAATTATTTTTGGAATTTAGAGTGACTTGTCGTCTCTCTCGATAAATAAGCTTACTTTATTTTTCGTGCCATTATTGCTCTTGACATATTCTGAAGGGTTTACAACAAGAAGCCAGCATTTTAAGAACACATCCAGTATTGGAAAACTCTAAGTATACGGCGTTTCAAGCCTTATTTAATAAACACTAATGAATGGTAGAGAAACAGGGAAAAACGGGGAAACAGTTAATATTGTTTCCCGAGAATCTGAATGTTTTCCTAGGCGGAACTGAGGAAAACATTGAGATTCGAAAGAAACAAAATTAATTGATTCCCCTAGGGACCATTCTTTAAGTTATTTGTTATATAACTGGAAATTTTGAAGCTGGGAATTCATAAAATCCCTCTCTAACGTCGGTCGTCGGTCAACATTTGCGGGTAACAGGGCACCGTTATCCCCTGACGTCATAGATTTTGCAATGTTGCCCGCTCAGAGATTTTGGCAAGGAACAGTATCATTCGGTTAGATGTCATGTGACCTCGAAGTAACCAATGAGAGCGCGTGCTGCTGGGAAACATTTCCTGCTATATAACATCAAAAAATATCTGACAAATAAAGAAAGATGGTAAATTTTAAGCTCGGTGAAGAAAATAGAAATGTTTTGATTAACATGTCACATGAACTTATAACACATCAACTTATGACCTTCCATACACCGGTCGAATGCTCTCACCACAGAGCTGCGAAGGACATGTGGCGTGCTAGGCCACATACAATTTCTCAACCCACATTATTTTTCTAACAGTTCATACACTTCTTAGTTTCATGCTGTTAACACATTCGTAAAAGTTTGCGACTTGTGAACTGATTTTCTTAGAACAATATAAGGGTTTCTTACCTGCATCTCTTCCACGGCGAGCGCATCTCGGGCAAAGTTTTGAAGTTTTTTACTAATCAGACTGGGATCCAAAAGGCTAGCACTTACTTGACAAGACCATAAAACGACGAAATAATAAAGAAAGAACATCTCATGAATTGTTTTTGATGAGTTAAACGCTGGTATTCGTGATCGATGGAACTGCCGTTCGGTTTATGAACCGGTCAAAGATATTAAACACCTTTGTATGTCTTAGTCTATTGTTATATTCGGTGTGAAAGTAAAACTACTCCGTGAAAATACTACAAATACTGACCGCAAACATATGACGCACTTTATGCTCCATTTAACAGAAGTTAGAGTGTTTTCGCCGGACGTGTTTGAAAATAATTTTTAAACCACTACAATCAGACAACTTTATTATTTATTTGTTGTAACCTTACTTTTAAAATATCATTTTATAAGTTAACGGTCAGCTTCTCTGTCAAATATAAGTTTCGTCATCTATGCGGTTCAAAGGGGAATCCCCGATTGTCTATTTTGCGTTTAGATTCTTCAGCAATGGTTGTTAGTGAATTTCTTCCGCCAAAGGAATTTCTTCCTCTTAAGCTTCGTTAAAAAAGGACTGATTTGAACGGTCCTGAACAATTTTTTAAAAAAGAAGAAGCCAACGTTGCTCATAAAAAAAAGCCTACAGTCATGTTAAGTTAGCCAGGCGAAAAAGTAATGTCTAATAATAGTATAGAATGCAAATTGAAATCTTTAAACTTATGTAAAATATTCAATTTAAAACTATTCAGGAAGAACGCTTAACGTTTTTAAATCTAAGTGTTAAGTCCGATGTGCCTTCATCGGTAAATACCAATCTCACATAACATTTTTTCATCATTTTGTAATCTTGGAGGCTGGGCAGTGTTTATTGGTGTTGACAGTTTGTGGGTCTCTATCAGTCTCTTTATTGTTCGATGATATAAAGATAAACGTACGTGTAGATTAAAGTGGTTAAGATAACTTGTCATGAACGAAATTTGTCGGCAAATATGTTGTGACGACAACTGCATGGCTGGGTAGTTTTGAATCGCCCTTGAATGATTAAGAAAGCGTGTTAAAGCCAACATTGCTCACGAATCCCGGGGGAGAAGCTGTATAGGCATGTGTCGCTTCATAGGCTCTGGTTTCTGAGCCTTTGGTCTGAAAAAGGGTGGATTTTGCCTATGCTTTATGGTCTGGAATTGGAATATGGAACCAACTTATCGGACGTCCCCGTAAAATCACGGGCCAGAAGACCAATTAGTGTTTAATCAAATTGTAAAGAAAAAACGTAGGTCCTAAAACAAAGCAAGAAAATTAAAAGAAGAAATATTTATTATATTGTCGCCAAGCTATTTAACACTATTAAAGCCTCGATCTTGAATTTTGAAGAAAACAGCTTTCTGACCTAGTAATTCCAAGGACTTTTTAAAAACGGACCCATGGATTTCAAGGGAGCCACAAGGGCGCAAATCTTATCAAAACCTTTTAAATCCCATGAAACTAACACTACAACAAAACCCGAAACAAAGCTAAAGGAAAATTTTGTCGCATGGATTTTGAGGCCCTAAAAACACGTGGCATGTTTTGGTTTCAAATAGCGTCATGATTTTGAAAGCGGTCTCCATAACACTTCTCTCCCCCCCAAAAAATCCGAGAGGATCCCTCCAGGAACACTGATCAATATAAGAAAATGACTTCCTGTTTATTGAGATCATTTGAAGCCTTTGTCTCGAAAAGCAGTAGTTTGACTGCTTCTAGTCATAGAATATAAGTCCAATATGAATGAAGTTGTATTGTCCTTAAGAAATGATATTTAGAAAGAGGTCTTTTTATTTATAAATATTCCTTTCATCAAGATCTTCGAGCAACCGGAAAATAACAGTCTTCGGTATATTGCACGTCAGCTCGGCTTTCAGTCGTTCCAGTGCAATAACGCCAGTTTTCTAGCTGTTTATTGCCATATATACAATGGCGAATAACTATTTCCGAAAAGAAAAACAGACAAATAAATAAATTAATATTAAATGATAATTCAAGGAACCAACGAAGTAAACTTGAGTAGCAGCAGATTGATACAAGAGTGGATACGCAACGTAGGGCACAGCAACGTGCTCTCCACGACGCCTTGCGTTTCTCAGTTGTCCCCACTAGCAGAAACAAACATATGTTACTAAAAATAAAAGTAGGAAATGTTAAGATTGTTTTAAGTATGCGGTGATTCCCCACTGTTTAAATTGTATTTTCTAAATCAATCGTGTTTCGATGTATGACGAGTCCACAGTCCCAAGTCCCCATAATAAAGACTTGTTTGTTAGGTGATGTTTTCCTATATAATGCGAAGCAAGGCACGTTACTGTGTGTAGTCCCAACTCATAAATCTCTCTCGCACCAATGAATAGCGCACCAATTAGCTAAAAAAGTGCTCCGTCTTAATTGATTTCATTCTAATAATAATAATAATAATAATAATAATAATAATTTATCTAACGCTATTCAGCCACTCTTTCATAGCGCTTTACAATGATTATGTTAACGTAGAACCAAAAAGTTAAAAAATAAAATACCGAGATAAATTTGTTAGAAAGCTAAAAAATATATATACATTGTACAAGAAATGAAAGTTAAAAATCTAAAATCTAAAAATACTAAGATAAAATTACAGCTAATGAAGGATATAAAAAACGTGTATTANTACAATGATTATGTTAACGTAGAACCAAAAAGTTAAAAAATAAAATACCGAGATAAATTTGTTAGAAAGCTAAAAAATATATATACATTGTACAAGAAATGAAAGTTAAAAATCTAAAATCTAAAAATACTAAGATAAAATTATAAAGAAAACACATCCACGAGTAACAACTGATCAACAAACATGAAAAGAAATGTGGAAACCATTACAGACACGAGATTCTCTCTAGAACCGTGACCCTTTGTACATAATAACAAAAAAGGTTCAATTTAGATACTTTCGCAGTTCTTGCAGGTAAGTCAGTACCACGAGAAATACAACCTTACATAAAAGATTCCCACCCGAATCTCAGACATCCTCTAAATAGTCGAAGGGATGCCTGAAATTCAGGCTAAAAGATTTCCCTAAATACCTTTTCACCGTTTTCCGTTATCGATCGATAAAATCACTTGATCGCTAACGATTTTTATCGATTTCGAATTTTATTTACCGGCTACTTCGGAAAGTAAGTACACGCGGAACTGAAGTTATTTAGAAAGGGTGGCAGATCTAAATCGTGAAAAAACTGGGCGCTTCTAGTACAAACCTGGCCAATATTGGCCATCAAAAGAAGACTTTAAAGTGGGTCTTAAAGAAAAGATGAGATTTTTTTAAGCTTTTTTTTAAAGTTATAATACATAGTTTGATCCTTCGACACTTAATTGCAGCTCAATTGTCAACAAATTCACTGTTTGCATGAAATCATTTTTTCTTGTGAATGAACAGAAGAACAGAATGATGTACCTTCCGATATAAATCGATGGAATCGGTAAAATCTACATAAACCGATAAACGAAACGAGTGTGTCATCGATTTCTACCGACTGATCGATACGATCGATATTAATAAAATCAGATTTACCGATTTTTCGATTTTTTTTACAGATTTTTGATAAATCGATAACGAGTTTTATCGATTGACTACTCCGGGGTTTTTTAGACATCCATCCACATTCAACACAGCGTTCAACACGCAACTTTGCATCAGCACAACAATCAGTATTGAAGGAAATATATAGTTGCGTGTCATCAGCGTACAGATGCTATAGCAAGTCATGTTTTTGATGATATCTGCAATCGGCGCAGTATAGACAAGGTACAGTAGTGGGCTCAGTATAGACCCCACGCAACAATTCTGTCTACTTGCTATTAATATTTGGGTACTGAATCCTATGGGGGAAAACTATAGCTGCAACTATAAACAACAACTCAAAGCGTATGCAACGATAATTCTGATTGTATCTTCATTAGAATGTAACAAGTAACATAAATTTTTAGAACAAACTTATGAACTTCGCTTGAAATTTGTTTAAAAAACTGAAAGTCCAAACTGCAAAAATTGGCAAACACAGCGGTCTCAAGCAATGCATGCTGTACAATTTAGGCCCTGTTGACACTAATGCGTTTTCGTTGTCGAACAAAAAGCGCATCGATCGATCCGCATCTACACCACCGTTTTGATGCATTTTCGATTTTCCATAACACTAAAACGTTCGAAAAAGATAGAATTACACGTTGTGACATAAGTTGAACTCTATGCACATGCTATTTCGCCACCTTATTATAACAGTAATAAATTACAGGAATCAGTTGGATTATATAGCAAGAAAGCCCAAAGAACAATGAGGCTTATACAACGAGGGCTTTCCCTATTAAATTACAAATTTAAGATAAACGTAATGGTAATTTAGCTGAACGGTAAACGTTTTGAGAAACAATAATACGAAGGAAAAAGGTACATTAAAAAAAAAAAAAAAAAAAAGAGAAAAAAAATAAATTTAAAAGGTAATGACCAAGTATTAAATAGAAAAATTATTTTTTCTATTTCTGCTTTTTTTTTTTTTTTTTGCGGTGGGGTGGCAAGAGGCAGAAAAATCGGGTCTGTAAAAGCAACACAACAAAATTTTCGT